ACAGAAACAACTTGTTAGAAATGTTCAAATATTTTGTTTGCTTTAGAGATTTATAGAAGTGTAGGAGTTGGAATGAGAATCGGGGCTAGCAGTGGGCAAAACAAATGAATCTGTAAAGTATTATCAGCTAACCAAAGAGCACCAAACAAATCGAACAAATTGCCTCCTTATCTAACATAAGCATGAGAAAACCTTGTCATAGCAAATAGCAGCTCACCCCCTCAAACACCTTCAGACTGGCAAGAGCTGCAGGTGGACACAGGTGTGGCTGGTTGGAACGTGGGAAAGGAGAATGAACCACCTGTCCAGGGCGATGGCTGCGTTGGCTTTTTGCTGCGTGTAGGAGGTTGAATGTTACAACACCAATCACGACCAGGACAGTGTAACTTACCTTTGCTCTTCTTTTTAGCATCTGCCCTGGGGTTACAGATAGGGCTGATAGTAGCTGTGATCCTGGTGCTGGGACTAGGAGCTGCTCTGGTCACGTATTTCTACAGGAGGAGGTAAGATCTCCTGCATCATCTCCCCCTTTCATACTACATATGAATGTAGACATTTTTAAATATCTTATCACAATATGGCAAAAGCCTTTTATGGATGTATTTGCTATATAAATCTTTTCAGAAATTTGTGTAATCGTTTGATTTGTAGTGATTCCTGTGATTTAAAATATGTGTGTCAGAGTTCACTACACCACAATGGGCACTGCTCATTTAGCCAAGACCACGTGTCCAAGTTATAATCCAGCCTTGAGCTCTGACTTTTGGGTGTACGCTTCCAGCTGTGAAAGATTGAGTAAATAACAGTTGTAGTCAGAAGTTTACATGTACTGACTGGTTTTGGAACAGATAAAGCAGGCTAACATTAAGCTGCTGGAACGGCCTTCCCAAAGTCCTGACCTCAAACCTGTTGAAAGTCTGTGGACTACTCTTACAAGCCGGGTCTGTGCCAGGAAACCAACCAACCAATTTAAATGAACTTTGACCACACTTCTTGGCAGAATTGGTAAATATCCAGCCAGAATTATAAGAGAGGCATCTGGCCGAAGTGCTAAGAGACATTTAACAAAATATTAGTTGGTGTCTGTGTTTATCTTTGAGCCTCTATGTATTAGAGGCGGATTAGAGAAAATCCAAAATAAATTCAAACTTGTGCTTCCACTTCTTGTTTATTAAAGTAATTAAACACAACCACTGCACCATGGAGAAAGAGCAATTTAAAGAAATCATTAAAGCCCCAAATTACCATGAAGTTCCTGCTCATCTGAGTGTCTGTAAACGTCTTCTGTAACTATTTATAAAAACTGACCTTCTTCCTGTCAGCACTACTTGTGAAGTTCCATGACTGCTGTAGGACTCCTACTGATTAGATTACATTGAACTCTTTTTAGCCACTTGCATGCATGTGTTTCAATTTAGTTGCAGACCTCAAACTTGCACAGAGTTTGCACAACGTTGCCTGATGAGCTGACCTGAGTTTCATTTTGAGGATTACAGTTCGTAACGAGAGCTACAAGTCAGACACCAGATAGCAGTGTCTAAGCCAGGAGCATGCTTTGTTTTTTGGTGTGTGTGTGTGTCTCTGTAATAATATCGATCAGGATACAGTTCCTTTGAGTTATGGTACCTGACATATCCTCATCTTTTTTGTGAAACCTTCATTCAGTCACTTCCCACCCTGCTTACCAGAACTGGGTTCCCGCATGGAGGAAGATGAACTGATTATTCAGGATGAATAACTACCACAGGGAGGAAGTAAAACTCACAGGACTATATAAAGACCAGTGATTAAAAAAAAAAAAAAAAGTCAGGAAATGACTTCACAGAAATCCATTACTCTGCGACTTTCTCCTCTAAATGAAATTCACGAGCTAAGGGGTCACCGTTGGGACTAGCAGGAGTGCTGGAGTCCTAGAACTTTCTGATCACACATTTTTATGCATTATTAGAGGTATATTAAGTGTATCAAAGAGTGAAACAACACAAGAGCAGATTTAAGGTTCAAACATCCACATTTTCAGGTTTATGGATTGCAGAATTTAGGTGAAAACCCTTCAGTATGTCTTATATTTCTTCAGCTACATCTAAAAGACACTTTTTGTCAGCTGTTTAAAAAATAAAAGTTTTACATTTTGTAACGCTGCTGTGTGCTTTCCCAGGCGTCCTCTGGACTATTACACCATGGAGCTGAGTGAGCACGGGGAGGGACTGTCTGATCTATAATCCAGGCTTTGGGCCAGCGGCTTTTTGCATGTGGTAGTGGCCACGCGCAGGGGAGGACTTCAGCAGAGAGAGAGAGCTACTGTGGGTAATCAAAGGGTTAATTTGACCTGTGGGTAACTAAATGTGCGGCTGTTGTGAAACAAACGCCACAAAGTGTCCTTCTGTCAAAATGACTTGTAATTGTTAACTATGTGGTTGCATCCAGTGTGTGCATGACGTGACATTTTATAGCTTCAGTGACATGAAATTAGGCAACCAGTGTGCTGCGTTTTAAAAGTCATAACATTCTTCTTCTTCTTCTTCTTTTTCCTAAGAATCGATGTGCAACCTTTGCCTGTGAACAGTGCTGGTTTCTACTTTTAAAAGAAAGGAAGATATAAGAAAGGGATTTATTTTTAAGTACTTGAGTCCTAAATTGTTTTTCTTTTGCTATGAATGAAGCTTTTAAATTAAGACATTTAAAACAACAATGCTTCTGATTTCTGCAGGAATGCCTGCTGGCACTAAAGTGTTTTTAACACCAGGCTGTATAACAAGATTACATTCTGTTCATGTCTTATGTTTTTGACTTCCTGCCTTGTTTTTCTGCTCTATATTTTGATAGATGACTTTGAACTGTAGTCAAAGGGCCTGATTGCCCTTTAAATGTGAATGTCTCTAACCTGTAATGAGTGTCTGTAACCACTTTTGTACTCTTGGTCAAAGAAAACTGTTTACAGTGTCTCGTTTTTGAAAATTAGAAGAAGGGATTGTGCGAGACGTATGAAGTAATTCCTTAAATGGGGAGAATTTGTTTATAAGAGATGAAATATTGCTTATTCTGTGTTTCGCTTGTGTTCTTAGTGGCTCGGAAACCGCTCTTGTGCCTTTGCCCGGTGTTTCGTTTGATCAGTTGTTTCTCCACTTAATAGAGGGGACAGCACAAGTTAGAGATAAGTGTCAGTACTACAAATATGACGTTGATATTCTCAGGGGGGGAAGACATTCTTAGCAGTCTGAAATGATAAGTTATTGCAGGGATGCAGAGAGAATTTTATCAGTTGAGTTAGTTTGAGTTCACTTTTAATAGATTATAAATATCAGACCTAAAATAGTCAAAATTGCCAAGATAATGTGCCCTGAATGAGCATGTGTATGCTGTTTTTGATAGCGTTGAAGTGCTGTTTGCCTCTTTGTGTTGCTTTTCTCATCAATGAAATGACCCCACCCCCACCTCCCTGTACCTTTCTCGTCAACTCTAATCTCACAGTAACATTTCTTAATACAACCATGTAAAGCTACATCAGTCCTGTCAAATAGGATTTCAGTCAGGGCCACTATAGTTAAAAGAAAACCTTTTTTTTTTTTTTACGTAGCTCTAGATAAGCTTGTAAATAAGTGGAAAGCCAGAGCTGGGGAGAGCAGCAGCAAGATCTGCGTCAGAAACAGCATGAAGAAGGAGGAGCTGTGGGTGGAGGTTTGCACATGCAACGGCAAGTGTATGAAGGCTAAAGCAGCTTGAGTAGCGTGGCCTAAGTGAGGCTGGATGCACAGAACGGTATCAGCTGTGCCATCAGCTGATGTGACGTGGGCTCGCACTGAGATCAGATGTGAGGCCGAGCTAGACTTCGTGGGCTACTGTGCTTGATTTATTTTAGAGATGCGCTGCTGCTTTCGTGCAACTTCTTTTCTTTTACATCAATTTAGCCAAGTCAAGGCAATTTAAGGTTTTTTGTTTGTTTTTGTTTTTTTTAAGCGTTCGCAGTGATTTAGTGGTGTGGCTTTCCACCTTTTAATGCCCGTTAAATGTCTTTTCTGGTATATTTTAGGTTTTTGTGAAACGCAGTGCATGTTGATAGGTTAGAAAATGAAAAGACAGGATGAAGAAGCTGCTCTTCAAGATTACAGATTATACACGGACATGCAAATGAGCTCGCCGCCGAGTGCAACTTTGATGTCTCTAACCTAAAATAAACTATTGTGAGAAAATGGCTCATGCAACACTACTGCGTGTCGGCTTCTTGCTTTACAAATCTGAGCTGACTCATTCACAGAGTCGGGTTTTTGCAGTATTCAAAGTCTAACAAAACTAGGAGTGAAAACAGAAGCGTGCGAATGTGACTGAGCACTAAAACGGTGTGTACATGCAGCAAGTACTCTCAGAACTTTACACAACAAACAACATGTCACAAAAAAACACTGGAAAAGTTAAAAAAAACAACAACTTTGTATCATCTGCATGCACAAGTCATGAATTACAATATGTTTCTCTTTTTTTCCATTTTTTTTAATGGTTTATTTTTCATGTTTTTCCTCAAATGTTTTGCACATTTATTTGAAAAAAGAAGTCAATAAATTTGAAATATGTGCAGTTGTGTTTCGGCAGTCTTTTTTTAAGTACAATGTGACAGCCTGAAATAACATGAATTAATATAATCTTGATTGCAGATGTTCCTACACTTATGTATGAACACAGCAGGTGCTGTTAATTACTCATATTTACAGCTTGTTTACTGTTTATCACCTTGCTCTATTACTGCCTGACATGTTAGCGACCTGAAGCTCTTTGTACTTCCTCCTATTGACCCTTGATATGTCGTGTCAGCCCTCTGCCTGTGGTTTGACAGCATCTGCACAGTCGATGAAGAGACGAGGCCTACAGTGCGGTTTTCAGGTTTTGGAGAGCGTGACTTCGTCTGCACACACAGGAAGCAGTTACTTTTTCTCTCTTCTCTTATTGTCACTGTTCAACCTGCCAACCACAGTGCAAAAATGCAGATGAGGCACGACACCGGAAAGGAGGTGCAGCACGAAGCGAATCTCCAGCAGCAGACTTTAGACCTACTTCAGCCGCTGTGTTTGAGGCTCACTTCACTCGCCTGCCAACTCAAAGTTGTATTATAATCTTTAAAGATCCGTCAAATTTGCACTTCTACTCTTCAGATATGTGTTTTCTGTGATAATCATGTGGCTACTTTATGAGACCGCGGTAAAGGAAGCATCTTTCATCCTTTGAAACGTTCAGACAACCTCCTCTAACCCATGGTGAGTCACTCGAGTTTTCCTACTTTTTTTGCTACAGAGCGTCTGACTTCATGCCTTCAGCAGCTTAAAGAGTCGTAAACGTTACTTTTCCATCATGGCTTTGAGTCAGCATCAGCTCCTGCTAGTGAAAATAAAGTATGCATAATCTTAACAGGCTTTCACTTACTTTTACTATAAAATATGATACATTTCCAGCAAACTCATATTCCTGGGTTTTAATTCTTGCTGTGTAATGCTGGCATTCTTGAATCAGCACATTGTGCTACTGTAATGTGTGTTTTTGCTGCTGCTACCAAATACTGTAGTTTGGAAGATTTCATGCTGTGAGTCTCCTAATGATCTTTACTGACTTATCTGTGCTGGATGGCCTTTTAACAGTGACGTGTACTTTATTTTGTATACGACATAGTTCCGAAATATCACATGTAGGACCTTCTTATGAGGCTGCTAAGGATATAAATTTTACTCTGGCTACTAAAACTGTGTCTTCCTTTTAGAGACATGATGCAATGAGCAACAAACCACACAGGAAAACATTTGCAGTTTCCCGTTTTCTCGGCACAACCTCAAACAAAACTTGAATTTTTGTTTGCACTACTTTCACTCCGCTTTAGTAAAATCGCAGCGGAAACAAGAAGAAGCTCCTTTCACACTTTTCATGTTCATGCAACAAACTGTCAGCTTAATAATGTTTAATAAACTGCGCACAGTGCAGGGAGAAGATATTTACTTTTATCACACAAGGCAAGGTAGATATGGGTACTTCTTTCCTTTAACAAAAGAAACGGCTGTTTAAAAGCATTTTGTATTTACTTGGGTTATCGTTGTCTATTATTTAGATTTCTTTCCTGATCTGAGGCCATTTAAGTGTAACATGCAAAAAAACTAAGAATACAGGAAGGGGGCAGATACTTTTTCATGTGTATAGTTTACATATTTGCCTGTTTAATAGTATGTTTGTCTTCTGCAAAGTGCAGGATGTGCACCAAGCACAACATGACCGTAAATCTGGTTATTTGAAAGGCTGTGCACACTCATGGTTAAACCAGTGGGTGTTTCCAGAGGACTAAACTTGAAAGACCTGGGCACATTGTGCTCATTTCATTTGTCATTAATTTATAAAATCTTCTTGGTTGTTGAAGTTTGGGGATAATATGTAACTCCCCAGCAAAGCTGCATCAGCTTAAAAGAGGCAAACACTGCACAGGATCACCGGCAATGTCTAGTAAAGGGATAATAGATTCTTAGTCCATGTTGTCGTGTCAAAAATAGGCACAAAGACCACTGGAAAAATGGCTTACTGAAATACAGTTTCAATAAGATATAGACAAAACCGACAATGAGCACCCCCGGGGGATAAACAGACTTTAATATAATCGAGCAGCACCAGCGACTTGGGTCCTTGGGGGGCGGGCAACCTGAATTTATTGAGAAGGGTCTTTCAAGATAACTTAATCAGTAAGTTCCACTCCGTGGTCTATCCTGGCAAAAGAAAAAGATCAAAAAATCTGATTCTTCTGGTTCTCTACCTATTCCTCATCTCTCATGTAGATCCATTGCTCATAACCCTCCTACAGGGCCCTGCAAACTTGTGTATCCCAAGCCAGTTAGCACATCCTTCTGCCCTGAGAAAGGCCTTAAGGGGGTGCAGGTGGTGTTTGTCTCCTGCTGTGTTCAGAGTCACAAAATCTGCATGTGGTGAAGTCTTCATACAATATCAACACAAACAACAACAAACACAGTGTTCAACTTGTGCTTGTGTTCTCATAAGCTCTCATAAGCATGTGTTACTGAGGTGAATGCAGGTGTACCTTTTTAATAAACACACTGATTAATTGGAGGTGATTAAGTAAATAACAATGATGCTCTGCACACATATTTCTAAAGGAACTGGTCAAAATGATAATGATGATGCTTTAGACTTTGAGTTAAAGGCGAAAATTCATCGTTAACAATGTGCAAAAAGTTTTTATTAAACTCTAATTAGCAGTTTAATTTCTCACTTTTATTATAAATATGTATTAGGGTTAGTAGTAGCAGTATTATACAGCAAACTCTTCTTCAGAGCTTCAGCAGGATGACTGAAGGCGAAACTTGTTTGATTGGCTTAACCCCCATTGATCACAGCCCATAATGTTCGGTTGCATGCAGTAAGTAATGTGTGTGTGTGTGTGTGTGTGTGTGTGTGTGTGTCACATAGATAAAAGCAGGAGCATCAGCGGTAGACATATATCAGAGTTTCTCATGGAGAAGACACATTACGATTCTATCCTGGACCGAAGCAAACGCATTACGTGGCAGGACGACTGCTATGTGGATCTTCAGTCTACGACCTCATCGCAAGCAGAAACGGAGGGTAAGAGTCGAAGCCACTGTGTCTGTAACGGTTTATTTAGCCTTTCAAAATAATTTTTTTGCAAAAATTTAATAGTGATCATTCAGACAGCAGCATTTAGTTCAATAAGTCATCATCAGTGGAACTAAAGTGTACAAATACTGGCATCTACATACATACAGGTTTATTTATATATATATATATATATGAATAATGGAGATCTTTCAGGGTCAGACTGAGGTCTCCAGTCCTCAGTGGCTCTTCATTCATCTCTGTGCGACCTCTATAATCCTGTCCCTGTTCTTCTATGTATATGTATATATATATGTGATATATATATATATATATATGTGATATATGTGTATATATATATATATATATATATATGTGATATATGTGTATATATATATGTGATATATATATATATATATGTATATATATATATACACGTATACATGTGCACATATACATCTTTGTGGTATGAACACATATATCAAGGTTATCAGCACTGATATTGCTTCATTTTTATTTGATTCCATTTATATCTCAGTACCCTCGATCTCTCCCTGTCTATCTGTTTTAGCTTGCTGTGTTTTTCTTGTTGTCTGTCCTCGTCCTGCGCTGCTGTTCTTTTGTTAAAAATACAATTTATGAATTGACAAAAAAGGACGTAGTGTGTCAGTGATAATGGCAGGATCATAAAATTGACTTTAAATGAAGTAGTTATTTTAACATTAGCGGTGCACATCGTATTCTGCTATTATCAGCAGTGTTGAGCTGCAGAGGTGTCATCTGTAGGACAATCTGATCTCTGTGGTTTAGCTTTCAAGTCTTTGTTTCACCATATGGTTCGCAAACAAGACAACAATGTTATCACGATTCAAGATGCCGACTTCTGCTGTTGGAGAAGAGAATAAGTAGAATTGCATTACAGAAAACAGAATTGTTCTTTTACAAATATGCAAAAATGTTGTAGGTTTACCTCAGTCTGGCAGCTTTATACCTGAAAAAGCGTTAAAGTGTGGCGATGTTCATACTGTGTGCAGTCACAGGTGCTGTTTATGGTTAGTGTGTTTAGCCTGTCACCTAGTAACCATTAACAAAACTTTGAAACAGTGCTCACCACGTCCGCTCGAAAATTTCCTGTAGGGGCAAACCCTAATACTTCTCAGTAAGTTTGCAGGTTTTTAAAAAATCACTTTGATCTCCATCCAACCATCCAGCCGTATGTCGGCTCCGAGCAGCAGTCTGAGCAGAGACTTTGATTGACTTTGAAAGATTAAACAAACCTGTCAATCCTGGGAGTTCATTAGGTAAACACTTGCTTGGACATTCGCCAATTTTTAAGCAGAAGATTTTCTGACTTAGGATTTTTAAGCAAGATCAAAAAAAATGTGCAATCATCGCAGATCCTCAGTTTTCAGGTTTGTATTTCAAGCTCTCCTGTAAACTCGCTGATGCTCTTTATTCTTTCCTGTTATTTTCCCCCTCTTTGTTAGGAAACATTTACACCGTTTCTAAATGACAGCTTGTTGGTTTTGATGTATTATTGAAGTGGTTTTAAGGACACCACAGGCTCCGATTGTGATGTGGTGATTTCTACTTTCCAAGAGGAATGTGAAAATATTTATCTGTCTCTTTGTGTATTACACAAAAAAGAAGAAGCTGACATGTCTGTAATTTTGAGTGTGTGTACACACACACACACACTTATAAAGATTAGGGGGAAAAAATAAATGAGGCAAAGGCATGTTATTTCTTTAAAAATATGGTGTCCTCTTGTGTGCAAAGTCATTTACCATCATCAGACTTTTTAATGAGAATAAATATCTGACAAAAACACAAATAATCCTGCATTGTCCCAGCTTAAGGAAGTATCTTTGCTCATGAGTTAACACCACAATAATCTCATCAATCATAAAAGTCCTAAAAGTGTTCTGTTATTCTTTAGATCTCGGTTGGATCCAAAAGCATCAAGACCAGCTGCAGAGCTTTATTACGCCCTCCTTCCTGGGGGAGATCTTAAACCACATGAGAAACCTGGATGTGCTCAGTTCAGCTGAGGAGACCAAGGTCAAGGAAGCAGGCCGACTGCAGGATCAGGTTAACATGCTCACCACTATTGTCACTGCCAAGGACAGTCAAGGCTCTGACGTCCTTCAGGGTTTTATAGAGAGCTCAGATTCTCAGGTTGCCCAGCTCATCATTAACCATGGTAAGAGGCTGCTACTCTCTGTCCTGTGTAATTCTTTAAAATGGTCATGGGGGGTAGTAGCTCAGGCAACGAGTCTGGAGGAACGAAACTGCAAAGAAAATAAATCAATAAAATAATATTCTGTAAGTTCTGTCTGGCTCTGCCGGATGTTTCTTCCTGTTAAAAGGGAGTTTTTCCTTCCCACTGTCGCCAAAGTGCTTGCTCACAGGGCGCCATATGATTGTTGGGTTTTTCTCTGTATGTTTTATTGTAGGGTCTACCTTACAATATAAAGCGCCTAGAGGTTACTGCTGTTGTGATTTAGCACTGTATAAATAAATTTGAATGGAATTGAATTATTTCCCATTTTTGTTTACTAATTAATAATTTTTAAAATGTTTATTTGTTTACTTGCTTGCATATGGAAATATGTATATGAAATGTAGATATTAATACTTTTTCTGCCAGTTTGGTTCCTCCATAGACGTGCGGCTTTTACAAGTGTTTCTATAGTGTTTAGTGTATGATTGTGTAAGTTTAAATGCAAAGCACTTTTCACTCACTGGGATCAAAGCTTAGTACAAAGTTACTCTTCCATATTAGTGTCCTTTTTCCAGAGAATAACCGATGTGAATTTCTTTTGTTTTTGTCTGTAGATGCCATGGTAAAGAGCACAAGGAGGTCCTCTTACGCCGATATGAACAGTACAGAGACAGAGACTCAATCAGCTGCCCCAGACTTAACATCTCATCAAGAACCTTACTACTTGTCGATGGACTTTCTGACCTCCAACAAAAGGAGCATGACCTGATGCAGGTGGGAGTGACTCGAGGAGAGAAAAGAAATCATCTTAGGCAGCTGGGGTTAGCAAAATTGTTTGAGCCCCTTACCCGAGTCAGTATGCCCCCTAGGGTCTCCCTCACAGTTGGGGTAGCTGGTATCGGCAAAACAACCTGGGTGAGACACTTTGTCCGGCAGTGGTGCCAAGGGATCATCTGTACAGACATAAACTTTGTGCTACCGTTCACATTTGCCGAGCTGAACTTGCTGGACAAGCTTTCTGCTGAGAGGCTGGTGAAAATGGCTTTTCCTCATATATCTGATCCCAGTCTGGTCCTGAACAGCTCCTGTCGGACTCTGCTCATACTTGATGGTTTGGACGAATTCCGCTGCAAATTAAATTTTTCCGACGCAGCTTCTTGCAGCGACCCAAAAAAGAAGTGCCTATTGACGACTTAGTTACCAACATCATTCGAGGGAATCTGCTTCCCGATATAGCAGTCTGGGTGACTTCCAGGCCAAGAGTAGCTTCCCTTATCCCGGAGGTCTGGTTGACAGGGTGACTGAGATCCCAGGATTTAGTCCTAAGGATATAGAGATCTTTCTGAATCACCATTTCTCTGAGAAGGATTTTGCCAGGAAAATATGGTCACACTTGGAATCCAATAAGATCTTGATGGTGATGTGCTACATACCCTGCATTTGCTGGATAGTAGCTGATACTTTGTTATACATCATGCAGAATGAAGCACAGGAGAGTCTTCCGAGGACTTGCACTGAGCTGTATGCCAATTTCTGTTCAATGAAAGCAGAATTGGGCGAACCAAGAGGCAGAGAGCCTGTAAAAACGGAGCAACTTCACGGGAGCAATCGGAAACTGCTGGGGAATCTCGGACGACTGGCTTTCTATGGGCTTCTTAAACACAAGTATGTCTTCAGTGAACAAGACCTCAAGAACTATGGGATTGAGCTACTGCTGACTCAAAGCAGTCTCGGTTCTGGAGTTCTTGTTCGAGAGGAGTCAACCATCAGCACGACGTTCCGCTTCACACATTTGACTCTGCAGGAGTTTCTTGCAGCTACCTTCTACCATGTTTCCTCAAAGCGGGCAATCTTTGACTTGTTCTCTGAGAGCTCCATGTCCTGGCCCAAGATTGGTTTCCAGAACCACTTCAGAAGTGCCTTTCAGCACTCACAACAAGCTGAGGATGGTCACCTGGATGTGTTCGTACGCTTCCTAACAGGCCTGCTGTGCTCAGCTGCAATCAAACCTCTTGCTGGACTTCTGGCCCTCGGGAAAGACGATGGCAACAACAAGGCATGGGCAGCAGGGTTTTTGCAGGGTCTGTTGGTCAGCGGGGGTGCTGTGGTGTCCCTGCGTGCAGTCAACCTAGCTTACTGTTTACAGGAGCTGCAGCACACAGAGATGCTGCGGAGCGTAGAGGAGGATTTACGGCTCAGCAGTCTAGCGGGAAAGTTAACGCGGCCTCACTGTGTGGTGCTGGGTTACCTGCTCCACGTGTCTCCGGAGTGCAGCGAACAAACCAACCTGACAGCCTCTCTGAACGCCTCGACAGTGAAATGTTTGCTCCCGCAGCTGCTGTACTGTAGGCATCTAAGGTGAGCTTCTCAACCCAAATACATCCAATAAAAGGAAAACTCCAGATTCAGTGGTTTTATCTGCTCATCAGGTTGGAGAATAATCACTTTAAAGATGATGTCATGGAGTTGCTGGGAAGTCTCCTGAGTGCCAAAGACTGCCATATCCAAAAAATAAGGTGAGCCTTTTTTGTGGTAAAGCATCATACGAGGAACAATTGTTGTTCTGAACAACTGTATCACATCAAGCTGCTTTATAAACTCAGACAAACAGCGGAGCTTTTAAATGAAGTTATGATTGACCTTGCTGATTACTCTCAGTGGTTGTGTGATTGTATGATTGGTGAAAGTATAATTGTGGTTGTAATTATTATTAATACTCGAACAACATAAATACAATTTCTTTTATCCCTCCATCAGTCTGGCGGACAATGCCATCAGCAACAAAGGAGCCAAAGCCCTGAGTCGAGCCCTCTTGGTGAACCGCACGCTGACTTCTCTCAAGTGAGATCTGCAGTGTTTGATGTCTGAATGAACAAATAAAACCTTTTGAGTTCAGTATTTCCAATTATCTGTATATAAAGCTGCTGCCCCCAGGTCTGGAAAGTATATTTTATGGTGTCAGTAGCTAGTTTTAATTCATTTATTACAGACACTCAAAGCCAAGTATGCTCTAGAGGAGCTATTCCCAGTCAAGAGTGCTGTGACCCATTTAATAAAACAGGAAATCCCATGGAGCCCCCCCCCAATCTTAAATCTTCACTCTAATCAAAATACAGGAGTGGGAGTATTAAGGCCAATAGGTGATCCACCTGCCACTGGGACACAAGCGTCAATAAAAGAGCAGTGAATTTAGGTCAGAGTAATATCACTAATAACCACCTCCAAGTACCAGTTTTAATTCACTTTTTATTTAAATCAATTAATATAAATAAGTAACTGTACATTATTATGAGTCATTTCAAACTCAATTTCTTGGGAATCACTGCTCTAGAGCTTGGCTAGCTGTTAGTGTGCAGGGTCTCAGTTTCTCTTGTGTCTAGATTCAAAAACTAAGATGGCAGTGGATAAATTGCTCACACTAAAGCTTTAAAAGATGAGTAACCATGACAACATGGGGGCTACTTCCATCTTTTATATACAGTATATAATGTTTTCCAAAAACAGAACCTTGTAATAAAAATGAGTAATCTGAAATGGGGAAAAGGCTTTTAGTTTTGATGTAGTATAGTCATTCAAGAGTTGATCATAATACTACATAATAATAATGCTAAACCTGCATCTTATAATTTACATCTTATTATTGCTAAGTAGAGTTTTAGTAAATCATCTAATGACCTGTTTATGTTGTTTTAGTCTTCGGAATAACAACATCGGCTCCAAAGGTGCAAAGTTCCTAGCAGAGGCTCTGAAAATGAACCAAGTCCTGACATCAATCAAGTTGAGTATAATTGCTCTACAGCTTAACTGACACACCCAGAATTCCAGTTTATTTACTCTAGTTGGTGTATTTGCTCAATTTCCCCGACTTCTCATCAGCTTTCAGAACAACGCCATCGAGGAGGAGGGTGCTCAGTCGCTTGCAGAAGTGCTGCAGTGCAACCGCAAACTGGTGTCTCTGAAGTGAGTTTGGTCTTGTTTACAGATGTTGTTTTAATGAATGTTCTGTAGATTAATGTGCATCTTTTTTTTTAGTATACGGAAGAATACAATCGCAGCAGGTGGAGCCAAAAGGATTGCAGAAGCACTGAAGACCAACCGGACTCTCACAAAGTTGATGTAATGCAGAATTAATATTCATTCAGTGATCTTGGAGATAATGTACTGAACTTCTAGGCCAGAACATTTAAAGACTAAAAGTTAATCATTACTTCTTCACATTTTTGCAGATTGATGATGAGGTGTACAGTTATGATAGCTCATTGACACACTTGTTTGTTACTAGGCTTCATTTGATCTTGTTTACCACCACACCTGAACCTGGTTCACATACTGATAACTCAGGTTTTCTTTCTCCTAATGTGTCGGGTGTATTTGTGTTCTTGTCTGCAGCCTTTGTGGTAATCAGCTTGGGGATAAAGGGACGGTAGCTCTGGCCGAGGCTTTGGCGGTCAACCACACTCTTCTCTCACTCCAGTTAGTATCTTCTGCCCATGAGTGCAATGCAAATGCATTTTAATAGTGTGGGAAGTGACATTTCAATTCATGCACCACAGAAGGGGAAATGGTGTTTGCTTTGAATGCTATTCATTACAGCTGCATTTAACTTTTCATCTCTTTTCATAGACTTCAGAGTAACTCGATCAGCAACAAGGGCATGACAGCCTTAACCAAAGCACTGAGGCTGAACCATGGCCTTGTCTCCTTGAAGTAAGGACCAAGCTTAAAGTTTCACTCTGTTTCCCTGTTTGTATTTGTGCATTAACCCAAGAATATTTTGTCTTTTTTGGGAGAACGTGATTTTCCAACAAGCAGCTGTCAGTTAAACTCAGAAGAGAGTTACTTTAGCTAAGAAATTATTTAAAACGCTGATGTTATTTTGAGCTTTAGGAGACCAATCAGTGATCAGGGTCAGTTATTTGTCTTACTTAGCTTCAGTAGGCATCTTGAAGTCCATGCAAGCTTTTCCTCAAGCTTTTCTTTCTGTGCAGATTAATTTTATTAGCACTGAAGAAAGTTAGTATGTTGTTTCCCTCTGCACCTCCGACTCTTTATGTATGGCTAATTAGCTGCAGACTTTGGTTCAACAGAATAAAGTTTAAATGATTTTACAGTTACAGAAGTGCACATGTTTTGGACAATTACAGTTTTTTCACATTATTTTGCCTCTGTACACCACTACAGTGGATTTTAAATCAGTCAAGATGTGATTACAGTTTAGACTTTAATTCAATTGATTTAATTTTATTTACTATTTAGGGATTATAGCCATTTTATATATAGTCTACCATTTTAAGAAGCTCAAAATTAATTGGACTAAACTAAAAAATTAAATAAAAAGATTGTTTTTAATACTTGGAGGAAAATCATTTGCAGTCAATGAGTACCTGCAGGCATCACCAAATGCTGTTTCTTCCCTTTTTATTTTTACTTTTTCAGAACTGTGCAGTTTCTTTTAGAAGTTTCCTGGCGAAGGCTACGTTAGCGTTGTTATTCTTGAATGTAGTTATTTGCACCTTCATTTTAAACCCTCTCTATTTCCATTCATCAAGGCATGTGTTTACTGCAGACTGATATTTATACGCCTACCTCCTTGAAAAACAGTTTTGACTTGGTTAGATGTTTTAAAGGTGTTTGGTTTTTTTTTCCTTTAACCATGGAAATAATTCTGTCATCATCCACTTTAGTTGTCTTCTGTGGTTTTTCTGGGTTTTTTTGTTGTGGAGCAGGGGGGCTTTGCGTAAAGATGGCTGTAATTCCTGATTATTTAAGGCACAACTTTTGTTAAACACCTTAAAAGAAAACTGAAAGTCTGCACATCATTCACACTTGATTATTTGATATAAAATCCACTGATGTGGTGTGCGGAGGCAAAATGACAAATATTGTCTCGCTGTTCAAAAACCTATAAAACTAATTGTATCATATGTGCAGTATATCTTATCTGTTAGACACATGTGATCAGTATTCATATTTTGTGTCTCAAAAAAGGGAGTAAAAAAAGCCTCTCTTTGGAAAAGGTTTGCCAAATTGGCAGTATCTTGGCATTTTAGTGGCTGTAAAGTTGTCATGCTTGTGTCTTATGTCACTTTTCATGTGTTTTTCTGTCTATTTAGTCTGAGGGAGAACTCCATTGGGGTAGAGGGAGCAAAGAACATGGCCCATGCCCTCCACGAGAACAACACTCTGCAGGACCTCGAGTGAGTCAGCTCGTTAATAGTAGTACAGTATCATCCCTCACAGAACTGCAGGAATACCCAACTGTTCAGTAAATGTCATTCCCCCAGATCATGCCCTGTCATACAATACTGCTGCATGATGAAAAGCACAAAAACTGTGAGATAACTGTTTGCATTGTGTAGCTCTTTGAGGTAATGTGGGGACATTTCCAACCTACTGCAACACTGAGAGCAGCAGCCATATTCTAGTGTTATAATACTTCCTGTAAACACCTTTTTCCAGTGTTATTTTCAAAACTTGAAGCTTCTGTGAAAGCAGACATGTTGAAAACGCTCTGACAGTCTTTGCATTACATACAACAGTGCTCATATTTGTGTTTTTGTTTGCATATTTGTGTGTTTTCCAGTCTCACAGCCAACCTTTTGCATGATGACGGAGTTCAAGCTATCGCTGGTGCAATCAAGTTTAATCGAGGCCTGACCTCCTTGCAGTAAGTGGAGCTTGAATCGGAAATAAACACATCCAAACAGATACACACAAGTCTGAGAGTAGAAGTGGGAGTCTGCACTGCACAGCAACCGATGCATTCTCAGTGATGTAATAAAGTTCTAGTGAACAAAGCAGGATATTTATACCTACATCTTTAAGCACACACTCTACCCATAACCCTGATAAGGACAAGTGGAAGAGAATGAATGGTTAGAGTCTTTGATTCTGAAATGTGGTTGAGCAGAAATTTGAGCTAAATCAAAATAGTAAAGTAAACGATTTGGTTCTTATGTAGCACTTTTCTACTTGAGCTTTTAAAGCGCCTCATTCAACACCCCTCATTCAACTATATTTTTTCGACACCTAAATGCTTTCTAAGATTCACACGTTGATGGACACATGGAGAGCAACTTTAAGGTTCAAGTATACTTCGGCATGCAGAGTAGAGCATCCAGGGATTGAACCAGCAACCTGTTTAATAGATCTTTAATGAATTCAAGTGTATTTGCTTCATACTGGGTCTCTTCTTTTCCTCTCTTTTCACAGTCTGCAGTGGAATTTCATCAAGTCCACGGCCACTAAAGCTCTGGCCCATGCACTCCTCTCCAATTCCACAATGCAACTCCTGGAGTAAGACCAATAAACCTTTTTCACTCCTTTGTTTGTAAATATATCGATCTCAACCAAAATTTCAAAACTCTTTCCTCAAAGCCTGCGCTGATATTACTTTGAGAAAATGACTCGCTCCAGGCTTTGAGTGAACATATTTCATCAGCAACCATGCAATTATGTAAAACTTTATTCGCAAGGCTTTATTGTTATTCATAGCAGTTTCTGTGTGTGCTTTTATCTCCATTCTACAGTCTTCAAGAAAATGCTATCGGGAATGAAGGAGTCACTTATCTTGCTGAGGCTCTGAAAACCAACACGTCACTGCGCACTTTATGGTTGGCATAACGATCATGTCCATCGACAGATCAATCATTTTTGTGGTTGTGGTGGTTGTGACCCTTTTGTGTGACGTCTCTTCAGTCTTCAGGGAGTCTCAGCAGGGATGAGTGGCGCCATTAAAATGGCAGAAGCTCTGATGACCAACCAGACCCTCCAAACATTAGAGTGAGTACAAATTTTACCTTGTGTCAACCTTTCCTTTGTTTTAGCTGCATATCATTGACACGCTCTTCGGCAGTTCAGCTTTGTCAGTTAAAGTTGGCCTAATCAACAGCAGAGTGAAACCAAGCAGCACTCGTTAACTTCTATCTGAAACTAACTGTCTATCTAAACTAACTGCTAGTCTCTTATCTGTCTGCTTCTAAAGATTAATAGCTTTTGATTGGTTCCTGTTATGAACTTTGTTTATCTTCATTTGAGAATCCCAGCATGCAATTTGAATTTACTGATTGCAGTCTGTCAATGTTGTGTCTGCTTGAGGTAGATATTATTTTAAGAAGGCAGTTAGTTGTCTCTAACAGATCACTGACAAGTCACGATTGCGATCACTAGATCAAATGAGTGCGCCTCCCTGGAAACGTTCATTATTTCCAAATGTTAAACAATAAAAGTGATGATTCATCAGAATACCTCCAGACCTTCTCTTTGTGAATAATGTGAGAAAATTCACCAACTAATCCTCAACCAGATTGAGACTATTTAAGCTCTCGTGCTGCTTGATGATTAAATGACTCAGTGTGTTTTAATGGCAACTTTACTTTTCTTTATTTTTTTTCACATGTAATGACTTGTCTATATTATTGTTGATTTACATTCACTCTGATTTTATAGAGTTAAATTTAAACATACCATAACAATATTACAATACATACAGCCATGTGAAAAAGAAATGCAACAATCCCAGTAATGTGAAAAACACCAAACTGCTTCTATAAGACTTAAGAAGGCAGGTGCTGCTAATCAAATACACTTGATTAACTGATCATCAGCAAGTGCGAGCACCTCTGTGAAAGCAAAGGTTTTGGCATTTTGCTGGTTTGGAGAATTCAGGTGTGTTAACACAATGTCACAGTCTTCCCAAGAGTGAACAGCCCACCAGTTTCCCCTGAGGTCAGACCATGCAGTGCTCAAGGAAACTGCAAAACAAACCAAGAGCTACATCACAGACTCTACAGGCCTAAGCATTAAATTTCATGATGGCGCAATGATAACAAGATTGAACCAGTGTGGCTTGTTCGAAAGGGTTGCCAGGACGACACCTCTTCTCTTTAAGAAGTTGCACAGGTTAGGATAGTAAAGTTGTATTTGAACAAACCACAAGATTTCTGGGACGTTGGACCTCATTTACTAACAATGTGCAATCAAAAATACAGACAAATTAAAATCTGGCTGTCGTAGGAAATTTCTACAGGATGTTTAGAATTACAGTTATTTTTTATTTTAAAAAAAAGCCTTGATATTAGTGCTGGATGTCTTTCAGTCTAATTTCTTGGCCCTCTCTAATGGATGCTGAAAAATAGAATTCAGTGAGTTTATTATCACAGATTGACAGATATGGTCCTCTTTGTTCTTTTTCTCTCATTCAGTTAGACTTTTTTATATCAACTTTGAGTTCCAAGCAAGTCTCAGGGGATGTGATATACAGAGCTACTATTTTGTCAGTAGGAGCCCCACTTTTCATTTTTCTTTTAAACTGTTGAAAACACTCTGGAAAGCTGTGCCTTTTCCTCTTTGGACAATTGTTTAAGTTTCTTCAGTTGGATTTTCTCCTGTTTTCCTCTTTTAGTGGTGCACGGTTCTCTCTTGCAAGATAGTAACTGCTTTCTCTGCTTTACCTGGAAGTACTAGAATTGGATGTCTTGACTGGTCTCAAGACCACTTTTACGTGGTCTTGATCTTGTCTCGGTCTCGACGGACTTTGGTCTTGTCTTGGTCTCACTGTCTTGATCTTGCTGTCTAATGTGTCATGCGCAAAAGCATCAGCTCTAAGAGCCGTGCTTAGAGAGTGCTTTGTAGTGAATCACAAGAGTCGACTCCCAGTAAGCGAGAGCCGGCTCCTCACTTAATTTCCTTTCACTGCTCAGCTCTCACACAGTGGCTCAGCTATGCTCCAATCCCTCCATATTGTGGCCAATCACATGCGAGGATATAGGATAATATCATTATGTGAAAAACAGAGAGGGTGAGAGACGCGGCAGTCAAGTGGAGTCTGTCTTCCCAGTAAGTGAGTGAGACAGTAGACAGTGGTGAGGAGGGCTGTGCGAGTGCATCACAAAAACACATAAATATGCCCGACACCCGTAAACGAATCAGCATCTGGCTGCAGTTTAAAGACTTTTTCGTCTCGGTCTTTGTCTCGTCTCAACTTTGTCTTGGTCTTGACTTGGTCTGTCTTGGTCTTGGTCTTGTCTTGGTCTCGATACCCTCTGATCTTGGTATTGTCTTGGTTTAGGCGGTCTTGACTACAAGTCAAGCACGTACGCCTGAATGACATGGAGACGTGACAATATCCAGATTTTATGGCGATTACAAAGGGCTCTTTGTTCATAAAGAGTCTGATTTATCAACATATAAACTGTGGTAAGAATAAAAACAAGCTGGTGCACGTGTTTCTTAAATCTAAGAGTAATTTTGCATAGCCACTTGTTTGTTTGAATAGAGTAAGAACTCCACGCACATTAAATGAAGCCCATTGTCCTTTAAACAGAAAAGACCAAAGTGGAGATGTTTGGCCACAATGCACAGAGTAACATTTGGGGAAATTTGAACACAGCACAAACACTTCATAACAACTGTCAATCACTGTGTTGGAGGGATGGTGATTTGGCCTTGTTTTGCAGCCACAGGATCTGGACACCTTGCAGTCCTTAGGTCAACCATGACCTCCTCTGTACCTGGAATAATTTTGGAATCAAATATGGGGACCAAAATGCTTCCACAGTGATGTGAGACACTGATAAAAACATGCTGAAATGATTATTCCTGCTAGAGGTGACTCTACAAGCTACTGAAACATGCAATGTAGTTCGTTTTTCATCAGTAATTTGGCATTTTTATTGATCTTATTGTAAATTTAAAATGTAAAATCTCTCTGTTTATTCAAATGGATTTTTTTGCAGCAGTGAACAAAGATTGGTCAGCGGATTTTAGAATGAGTTGGACTGCTTCTTATTTGCTGAAGTAACCAATACAAACTTTCTTCATTAGTGACTTTTTATCTCAAGATTTTCTTGATGGGTTTGTCATAACCTTTCAGGAACTTCACTAAAAGGATAATTAATTTTTTTTTTTGAAGCAACAAAAGAGACAATTAAAATACAATTGCCTCCAGCAGCTCATTGCAAATTGTCGTTTTTAGTCCTGGTAAACAACCAATTTCACCTGTCATTGGACGACACAAGAGAAAAGTGAGAAAAATGATAGAAGGCTCTAGTTTGATGAGACGCTCACCTGGGTGGAGCTCGGCAGCTCATTTTCCACTATGTTTTTCAGTCTGCGTGGGAACACTGTAGGAATGGAGGGAGCCAAGGCCCTGGCCAACGCCTTGAAATCCAACAGAAGCCTCAAGGCGCTGAAGTAAGCACAACTGGAACTTCATTTCATGACATAAACTACATTCGTATATTAAACCTGTGGTAGAAAAGTAAATGCAGCTGCTGATTTCATGCTGCCTGATTTATCTGTTCAATCAGGGCTGAAGTTTATTCTCCCACACTCTCCTCCGCTGTTCATCCATTATTTGGTTAGCTGCAAATAACCCCAGCTACAGAGATGCATGTGTGCTGAACTCCCTGATTTTGTTTTTGTTTTCTTCTGGAATCCAACAGTCATCAATATCCAGACCTTTACATTTGAAATTTAGAGAGTTACTCACAGATATCGCTACATTTGATCAAAAATAAATCTTCTGTGTGTGATTCATCAGTCTGCAGGAGAACTCTCTGGGCATGGACGGAGCCATATTCATTGCAACAGCTTTGAAGGGAAACCACCAACTGACATACATCAAGTAAGTTTTCTTTTACCGTTTATTTATTGTTATTTACCTGTTTATCGATTTGTCGTATTAAAACTGTTCCTTCAGTTTGCAGGGAAATGGCATTGGAGAATCTGGAGCTAAAGTCATATCTGATGCTATAAGAGCCAGTGCCTCTGGCTGCGTGGTGG